TTCGATTTGCCTCGTTGACACGCGTGGATTAATAGCTATCATTCCCAATACGGCAAGTACTGTTGGATCATCCCTTTCTGGTACGTTAATATGACGTCTTTTTGATGTTGACGTTGTCGTTGACGAAATACAAGTCTGGAAATCGTACAATGATTTGGATATCGTCTATGAGGAAATCGATTACGGTACAATACCACTGCTTGTCGATAATTATTATGGCATTCTCCAAGTATCAGAACAATATCAATAATTTCGTTCAAAGTATAATCTGGCATTTTGCGTACATCAAGTTACAAGATAAAGTAAGAACCGATAGATTTATTATCCTGGTTGATATTGGACGACTAAGACAAATTTACGCATTTACGGATTATTCTTTGCCATCAGCCATTATAGATCAATCCCGGTGGATGGACCTATTAAGATAGAAAATGTTGCGTGAGTATAAATTTCAGCGCTCGGAATCAGTTTCCCTTTTCGGCCAGATTTATGAGAAGGCGCCTACTATCCCCCCACTACCGCTCCAGACTCTACACCCGAGCCGCCGATCGCGCGCGTAACGCTGAGCCTCAGGAGCGTCCATGACAAATACAGGCCCGTATCTTCCATGAAATTTTTAATTATTTAGCAAAAAAAGTTTTGCTAAATAGTTATTACATTCACAAATAATAACTTTTATATTTATGAATTTAACGTACAAAAATTTATTATTAAAATATTAAATTGTGTAAAGTAATTACACAGTGATAATCATAGCACATACAACCATTTACCTTATCAGGAACCCTGTTTCTTATAATTCATAAAGAAATAAATAATATCATTTTTAGAAATATTAATATTTATTCCCTAAAGTTTAGATGATATTTATTCTTTTCCACTGTTATAACTTAACTAGTACATAACGAAAGTAACTTAATTATAGTGTTTTGGAAAGCTCTTGAGATGAGCTGTAAGAATGTGCAATGAGAAATAAGGGGTTCCATTAAAAAAATTAAAGGTGACCTTCACGTGACCTTCAGAGGACTATCCAAGGTCAAATCGATGGCACCATCTTATGTCCCCCTTCGAGTAAAACAACTTTTGTCTGAAACATTTTTGTCTACTGGGTTTAGTTTTCGAAATATTTGGCTGGATCATTTCAAATGGGACATCCTGTATATAAAAAAGATGAAATATTCAAAAACAATGAAAAAACAAAGAATAATGCCATGAAAAGAAATAGAATCAAAATAATATTTTAAATATTATATATTTATTATTAAAATAAATTCCACAAAACACAGTTCTCTGGGTGACATTTTGAGGATATCCCTATGATGTAGGGACGTCCTTTGGACATCCTTTAGAATTATTGTTGTATGAGATAATCTCTCGTAATCATAATAGACTTAATATAAAATACGAAAGATATTTAAAGTACATAAAGTGTAACAACACATCAAAATGAGAACACGAAATGCAATAGATAGAGTAATGAGAGTCGCCAATATTAAAAATGAATTAATAAATAGTAAAACCTAGGTCAATACATTAAACGAGCTATAGTTAGGTATACTAAATAATACTTATTAATCACAAATTATAATTTTCCGACGATAAGTTTCAACAGTACGTTTCATACTATACTTAATCCTTATCAGCCGCGGAAATACATAAATAACAAAATATCTAATCATATTAACATATTATGAGGATCATCTCACGTTCAAGTTACAATAGATATTGTATATTAGAAATTTCTAAGAATCATCTCACCTTCTTGTTATGATTCTTCGTGAGATGATTCTCTTAGAAATCTGTTATATTATCTATTATAACTCGAACGTGAGATGATCCTCATAATATGTTAATATGATTAGATATTTTGGTATTTATATATTTCTGCGGCTGATGAGGATTAAGTATAGTCGAAACGTACCGTTGAAACTTATCGTCGGAAAATTATAATTTGTTGATTAATAAATATTTTTTATTTAGTCCGAAAAAATAATTCGGCGCGCAGTTTGAAAAAGACTACAATATGGTATATATATGCAAGTACATATATAGTATATATTAGTAATTCAAGATTGAATTATTTAAGCAACGAAGATCCAGCTTCGACAGTAATAGGCATTTTTAATTTCTAGTATTGATTGTGTTTCTCACATATACGGTCTAAAATAAAGATATTGTCTCCTGAAAGAAAGACGTTGTTTCCTTATTGTACTGAGTGTTGCGAAGAATATTACTAAGGCCTCGGTGGTCTAATGGCTTAGGACGCTCGTACGGAATACAAGAGATCCGGGTTCAAGTCCCGGCCGAGGTAATATTTTTCGCAATAAATTTATTAACAGTTTTTAACATATTAACATCTTTATAATATATGATGCTTGATGGTAACATCAAATTATTAAATTGCTTGTCAATTTAATTCGCGATTACTAGAGTAGTTTTAATTGCGTTTATTTAGTCCGGAAAAATAATTCGGCGCGCAGTTTGAAAAAGACTACAATATGATATATATGCAAGTACATATATAGTATATATTAATAATTCAAGATTGAATTATTTAAGCAACGAAGATTTAGCTTCGACCGTAATAGGCATTTTAAATTTCTAGTATTGATTGTGTTTCTCACATATACGGTCTAAAATAAAGATATTGTTTAATAAATATTATTTAGTACACCTAACTGTAGCTCGTTTAATGTATTGACCTGGGTGTTACTATTCATTAATTTGTTGTAAGTTACAATTAAAAGTAATATTATTTATATTGTAATATTAAAAATAAATTTTCATATCGATAACAAATAGAAAATTGTAGGAATAAAATATCGAAAATGAGCAAAATCTCCAGCAGCATATTTTGTCATCAATCCCTATTTGTTTATAATTTGATGTTTAACGAAGAAAGATTAGATACATTACTGTTGCACCTTTCGGTGCAACAAAGGAACCTTTGGGTCCGTTTCGCCTGAAGGATTGGAACCCACGAGGAGTGCTGATGGATAGATCACAAGAAGACACCTACTACCGTAATTTCAACACTTTTTTTTTTATTTTAAATTTATTTTCCTTCTTACAAGTTCCCCTTTATTACAAGTATGTTACAATAATTCCTCGTAAGTTGTTGTACTTATTAAAAGACGTTATTTCGTACTCGCACTTGCAATATTTTAGTGATCGGTCACTTGCGTAGTACGTAACGTGCTAGCTTACTTAACTGTAAGAAATCTCGAAATCCCCTTTGCTGCGATTAGGCAGCCGAATATAAAGGAACGCGCGGTGTCTTATTACCGCGCATTCCAGCGATCAATATGACCATATATGGTCATGCCCGGTGACGGACGTCGTTCGCGCGTGGATGTCGAATTTGCAGTCTTGCATTTCTGCGGCTCGTTGCCATGTCGAAATGCAAGGTGCAGGTGTGATAGCAATCTTGCATTTCTGCGAGTTCGTTGATATGCCGAAATGCAAGGCTTAATTGTGATAGCTTTCGGGCTACAGCAAAAGTATGCACTGGTATTTATTAATTAAACAAGAAATTATAATGACAGCGATTTATTTGTCATCCATATCCATTTATTTATAACTTAATATTTAATAAATGATGATCAGATGAAACGAAATTATACACTGTTATTTTTTAATTATTTTTCAATATCATTACCTTTATTATTACTATTATCATCATTATTATTATTTTGTAAATATGAATACAAAATGTATTATTACTAATAACAAGAACTTAGCAAAAATTCGTGAAATCCATGGGAAGACATTAAAAATATAAAAAAAGGAAAAACAAATAAGGGCTAATGAGAGTTTTATGCACGGTTGTTAGTGCGAAAATAAAAATCGTTTATTGTCGAAATATAGTATAAATTAGTTACGCATAAACGTTTCGGCCTGCTTCCGTACGTCTGATCGTATAATGTAAATTCTCACTTCTTCATGACAAGACGGCAAAATGGTAACTCAATCTTCTTATTCAATTGGCAATGGTTGACAATTCTAGTGGCAACGAATAACAGATAAAAAACTGTGTAGACATCGAAAACGTTACCAATTATTTTTTATAACAAAGAAAATTAATGCACTCACCCATATAGCCATGAAAGACATGAACATCAAAAATCACTTAAAGTCGACAGACAAAATTAGTCCTTATTTGTTTTTTGTTTTTTGACATTCTCGAGAGTTTGGTTACTTGTTTTATTTATAAAAAAAGGCATCAAGTATATTTTGCAATATTTTTACACAAAATCATTTTGTATATTGTATATATATAAATATTTAAAAAATGTGAGTAAAAATAAAAATTCGTCAAAAATCAATAAGTTTTTTTACATTATCATATGTAAAAGGGTCAGCAAATACATAACTGTACATATATATAATTGTACTAAAAAAAATTAATTATATCGTAAAATTGCATATAGGACACTATAAAAACTAAACAAGTCTACAAAAAAGGAAAAGAATTACTTAGAAAAAATGTTGAGATGCGAAATTGTCTATAAGATCGATTATAAAGATTGTGAATTCACATACGTAGGACAAACTAAGAATCAGCTTAAAACGAGTGTGGTTTTTTGGGTTGAAGTGCTGGTGCAATGATTATTGAGATCGTAGGTTCTCGAAATAACTCTTTATTTTGAACCGCTGTACGTCTTACTCGGACGAGCACTTAGCTGTATCTGACCTGCGCCAATAGCGCCAACTCACTAGGGATAAATCCCTCGCCAAATCGATAGAATCGATATGGTCGCTCGCTTCCTAACCTAACGCGGTACACTTTAAATATGGGCTTGAATCACTAACCATAACACGCCGCCCGCCTTGCCAAATATAACTTATTTGCAATAACAAGTAATACTAAGTTTACGAAAACTAACCTACAAATTATAAAGCATATTTGTATCTGATGATCAATTAATTCTATATAGATTATAAACGCATTACCTTATAACTAATTATAAAAAACTTAAATGATAGCTCGTTTGCCATAACTATTCTAAACAAGGAGCAATGTTAACAATCGCTCTTTTGTACACTCCCTGACTTGTCTTTACCGTCACTGCCCTAATGATTCCATCAGAACCAGGGTGTACCTCTATAATTTTGGCGAGACTCCACTTCAGCGGTTTGCTCTCGCTCTCTTTAAACATAACCAGTTGTCCGATTTCGAAGGTCTTCTTAGCGTCTGAACGCCATTTGCTCCTCTGCTGACACGTCGTTAAGTATTCCTTTTGCCATCGACTCCAGAATCGTTGCCTCAGCTGTTCTACGTGTTGCCATCTTGATAGTTTATTTTCTGGAATCTCTTTTACATCTACCTCTGGGTAGGTCTGTAAATTTTCTCCGATTAAAAAATGACCTGGTGTTAATGCGCGAAGATCATTTGGGTCCTCAGACAAGGACGTTAATGGTCTGGAGTTTAACATGGCTTCTATTTGCGTCAGTAACGTCGTCATTTCAGCAATTGTCAGACAAGCGTCGCCTATTGTGCGCTTCATATATAATTTCAGTGTACGTACCGCCGCTTCCCAAAGACCCCCGTAGTGTGGAGATCTAGGAGGTATGAAATGCCAACTTATTTGCTCGCTAGTTGCATGGTCTTGAACGTCGTCCTTGAACTCCTTACTGCATAGTATTTCTTGCAACGCGCGATCCGCTCCAACAAAATTTTTTCCGTTGTCGGAATATATATTTCTGACCTTGCCTCTTCTTGCCATGAATCTCTTCAAGGCAGCGATGAATGAATCAGTAGTCAGGTCTTCTACCAACTCGATGTGTACTGCCTTCACCACCATGCAGACGAAAATTGCTACGTAAGCTTTATATTGCTTACTGTTGCGACGAATACGATCTCGCACGTAAAACGGTCCGCAATAGTCCACCCCCGTATTATAGAAAGGTCTGGCAGGGTTGACTCTGGCTGATGGCAGCTGCCCCATTAGTTGCCAGCTTGTCTTCGGGCTTGCCTTCTTACATCTGACGCACTTGTATAAGATTCCTTTAACTTGACTTTTAGCGAAAATGGGTCAAAACTCTTCTCTTATGCAGTTTAACGTAGTTTGCACTCCGGCGTGGAATAGCTTTTCGTGGTAATGTATAATAATCAATCTAGTAACATGATGGTGTGACGGGAGTATGATTGGATGTTTCGTTTCTTCAGGTAACGCCGCATGTTTCAGTCTGCCTCCAATCCTTAAAATGCCTTCGTCGTCCAAATACGGGAGTAGCGCTATTAGCTTCGAAGCCCTTCGGACCTTGTTGTTGAGCTTCAACGTTTTTATATCGTCTATGAACGCTTCCGCTTGTACTAGTTTGACTATTCTTAACTTCGCTTCCCTAATTTCCTCCGTACTTATTATTCCTATTCTACGCTCTTCTTTGGTATGCTTTACATTGTATATAAATCTTAAAATGTACGCTCCTATTCGCAACAATTTATAATAGGACGAAAATCTTTCATATTCTATAACTCGTTCATTTTCGACTACTGCTGTTACTACTGTTCGCTTTCTTTCTTCCGGTACGCTTCTTGATACCAACTCCTCAGCATCCTTTGGCCAATAGCTTGCGTTTTGACTCAACCATGGTGGTCCATTCCATCAACTGCTAGCTTTCATTAACTGTTCTGGGGTTGCACCTCTTGATATGAAGTCCGCAGGATTATTCTTCGAATCTACGTGTTTCCATTCGGAAGCTGAGGAATTGGTATGAATTTCGCTAACCCGATTTGCGACAAACATTTGCCACCTTCTAGATGGGGAGTTTATCCACGCGAGTACTATTGTTGAATCCGTCCAATAGAATTTCTGGTCTATTGTCAACTTTAAACTGTCCATCACTCGACACATTAAGTTTACTAGTAAAACCGCCCCACACAACTCTAACCGTGGTAATGATAAGGCTCTCATAGGTGCTACACGCGATTTTGAACAAATTAACTTGGTGATTGTATCGCCATGTTTGTCCCTTTCGTGTAGGTATACACATGCACCGTAGGCTCTTTCGCTCGCGTCACAAAATCCATGTAACTGTAGCTGACTATTGTTTTTTCCTGACACTATCAATCTAGGAATTTTTAATTCATTAAGCAAACACAATTGTGTTCTTATTTGGTTCCAACTCTGATATACCTGCATAGGCACCTCTTCGTCCCAGTCAATCCCCAAATTCCATAACGTTTGCATTAGGATAAGATCCTTAGCAGCGGTAATTACAGGCCCCACCAACCCTAATGGATCGAAAAGTTTGCACACTTGTGACAACATTACTCTTTTCGTTGCATTCTGATCATTTTCTTTCGATGTTACTTCATATTGAAACATATCCTTTTTCGGATCCCACGATATTCCTAATAACTTTGTCTCATTTTCTTTGACAATGTCTAGGCCTTCCGTTACCGTATGCACATTTTCGCTACAAATGGACATATTGGATCTCCACTTACGTAATCTAAATCCTCCCTTTTCTAGTAGCTCTGTCAGCTCTCCCTTTAACTTAATGACTTCTGCCTTTGTAGCACCTCCCGCCAGCAGATCGTCCATGTAAAAATTATTGCAAACTATTGTAGCTGCTTCGGGATAATTTGTTTTCTCGGATTCTGCTAATTGATGCAAACATCTGACCGCTAAAAATGAAGCAGGCTTTGTACCATACGTTACCGTAAGTAATTCGAAGTCTTGTATTTCGCTATTCGGATCCTCCCGCCAGACAATGCTTTGTAATGGCGTTTGTTCTTTTTCTATTAAAATTTGCCGGTACATCTTTTCGACGTCCGCACATAGTACATATTTAAAACACCTAAACTGTAGGATTAATGAGAACAGATCCGATTGTAGTGTCGGCCCTTTGCACAACGCATCATTTAACGATTTACCTCGTGAGTATGTACTAGAAGCATCGAATACCACTCTAGTTTTTGTTGTTGTACTACTTTGCTTTGTTACGGCATGATGTGAGAAATACTCTAAATTTATTTCCTAGGCTTATATTCGAGGCTCTCATGTGTCCTAATTGTTGATACTCGCGCATAAAGGCTACGTATTCAGCTTTAAACTCAGGTTGCCTCGCAAATTTTCGCTCTAATGCTAGAAACCTGTTAACAGCTACCTTCCTAGAATTCTCTAGCAGTGGCAATATTTTTTCTTTAACGGGTAATTTAACAACAAATCTACCTTCTGTTGTACGCTTATAACTTGCTTTAAATAATCTCTCACAACATTCTTCTTCCGCATCAGTATTTTTTGCATTGGTGTAATCCTCTATTTCCCAAAATCTTTTAACGCTTTGATTTAACTCGTCTATAGTGCTTAAATGACAACTCGTTGATGATCCTTTATTTGATTGCGATAAACTAATAGGCCCGGATATGAGCCATCCTAATGAAGACTCTTGTAACACCGGTTTGTATTTTCCCAATCTTATTTGCCCTGTACCAATAAGTTCCCAAAATTTTTCGGCTCCTATTAACATATCTATTTTGCTGGGAGTGTTAAAATGCGGATCGGCCAACTTAATGTCTTTGGGTATGTCCAAGTTCGTTACGCATACTTCTACAAGGGGTAAGTTTTGTGTAATCTTTGGTAATATTACATATTCTATATCCATATTGAATGTACTACATCGCGACATTATATGCAACTCCACTGATTTCAATGCACTTGATACTTGCTGACTTATTCCCTGAATTTTTATGTAATTATCTTTAGTTTTTAAGTTCAATTTTTTAACAAATTCTTCCGTAACGAAATTGGACTGTGACCCATTGTCTAATAATACCTTTCCTTCGACATTTTTCCCTTTATCGTTTCGAACTAATACCACGGCGGTAGCTAATAATACCTGGGTAGATCTTACTTTTTTATTCGATTGAGCATACGTGCATATTGTATTGTCCTGACATCTTCCTGTTGATTAGATTTTATATTGTTCTTTTCCTCTCTGTCCTCCTTCGTTGAATATTTATCATCATGCAACAAGGAGCTGTGTCTTTTTGAGCATCTTTTGCAATTGCCAGCCGTGCACTCCCTTGCTATGTGCTTGTCCTTTAGGCAATTCAGACATAGTTTTAACGCTTTTACTCTACTCAAACGATCTGAAATTGAAAGTTCTTTAAAGCCTTTACACTGGTAAATCCAATGTTCACCCTTGCAATGAGCGCATTTGTTTACGGTTATCGCCGCGTGAGCCGTTGTGAATTTACTGCTAGTTTGTCGCGATTTACTATTTAATTCTATGGACGGATTTCTTCTAGCTACTGTTTCTAAGGTCTCGCACCTTCGTGTCAAAAACTCTATCAATTCTTGAAAGGTAGGCAATTGTTTGCTTTGCAAGGTACCCTCCCATTCTTTCGTAGTGAAATAATCTAATTTGCTTGATACTGTGTATGTTAACAAGTCTCCCCAATCCTTTACTCGACGCTTTAATGCTGTTAACGCTCTAGTGTGTTTTAGTATGCCGTCTAATAAATTTCGCAAGGCGATACTATTTTCCTTTCTTAGCGCTGGCAATTCGAATATTGCCTTGATATGTTTTTGAACTGCGACTCGTTCATTGTCATATCGTTCTTTTAATCTGTACCAAGCATCGCGATAATTTGCTCCCGTAATTTCTATTGATTCTATAGCTTCCGCCGCTTCTCCTTTTAACGCGGCCTTCAGATAATTTTTGAACCTCATTTAAAAGTTTATTAGAATGTATTAATGAGTCAAAGATACCAAAGAAGGAATGCCACTCCTCGTAAACTCCGCTAAATGTCGGTAGTTCAATTTTTGGTAGTCTAATCTGAGTTTCGCTTGCTCTATTTAGAAATTTTTGAACCTCATTTAAAAGGTTATTAGAATGTATTAATGAGTCAAAGATACCAAAGAAGGAATGCCACTCCTCGTAAACTCCGCTAAATGTCGGTAGTTCAATTTTTGGTAGTCTAATCTGAGTTTCGCTTGCTCTATTTCTTACGTTATTACGTTCAAAGGGAATTTCCGCGATCGCTTGGTCCTGATTAGCAGTTGAGGCTGGTTTAACGCGCTCTTGAATGATTCTTACGCCCGCTCGTTTCAGATTGACATATTTTTCTTCGTAACCTGCAATCTCCAAGTCAATTTGCTCTTCACTTATGTCTTTATCATAAACAGCTAACTCTACTAGGCTTTCCTCTAATGTTTTTTGCAACTCCTCTAACTTATCTAATCTTATTCTTACTTCTTCTACATCAACACTGTCGGGCTGTATTGCCTTTATAAAGTTTTCGATGCGCGTGAAACCAGCCTTCGCTACTCTTTTCTTTATCTTTAGTCTCTGTATATCTACACTTTCCGCCATTTTGATTTATGCTGATACGTTAACTAACGTTATGAATAATATAACCCTACCTTAAAGTATCTTGTCGATATTACTATGTACCTTGATACGCTAACTGACCTGTTTATAACCTTACATGCATGACATGAACGCAATTCGCTATATTGTCTCTTATATCTTGCTCGTAACACCTTGTGTATACGCCTTGACTTCTTCGCGCCCAGCTGTAGCCGCGTTGTAAAGTCGCCTTGTTGACTCGTGTGCGCCTGCCTTGCCGCTTTGCGCGCCAACTGAGATCGCTGCCTCGTGTATAACGGCCTCGTCACTTCGCGCCAAAATGATGTCGTTGCTTCTTGTCGTTGCCTCTTGTCGGAAGCGCAGCCACGTAACTTTCTCGTAAGCAAGATTCGTCAACCTGAGTGTGAGGACGCGTCGCTTGATTGCAACGTCTAACCTTTGCGCAGAAGCATGCTCGCCGTTATGTCTCACGCAAGATGTCCGCCTTTCCCATGAACTCGTTCTTGTAATGAACTCGTTTTTGTTAATTCTGCTCGTCCGCTTGCCTTGAGGTCTCGCTGTTCCTATGATAGCGTCAAAACGTCTTCTCGTGACTTCGGAACCGGCTCGCCCATCGTTTCTGTTGTGATCGGCACGTTGCTACCGGCACGTTGCTGCCGGTTCGTTGCTACCGGTGTGTTGCTTGCCTTTCTCTTACCGGGTTATGCCTTCTGGTATCCGGCTCGAAGGACCATGTGGTTTTTTGGGTTGAGGTGCTGGTGCAATGATTATTGAGATCGTAGGTTCTCGAAATAACTCTTTATTTTGAACCGCTGTACGTCTTACTCGGACGAGCACTTAGCTGTATCTGACCTGCGCCAATAGCGCCAACTCACTAGGGATAAATCCCTCGCCAAATCGATAGAATCGATATGGTCGCTCGCTTCCTAACGCGGTACACTTTAAATATGGGCTTGAATCACTAACCATAACAACGAGAATCATCGAATATAAAAGGGACATTAATGAATTAAGGTAGTTCTCTCCCTCAGTTATATCCATCGACATCTAGAATGGACCGCCGATGGCAATGGTGGGGGTAGAAAGATGATTAGAGTGAGAGGCAGGAATAATAAGATCGTTCTTTCTCTGTTTACTGAAGCCTGATTGGTTGTTGTTAATCCAACAACCAATCAGGCTAGTTAGAAACAACAATAAACAGAGAAAGAACGATCTTATTATTCCTGCCTCTCACTCTAATCGTCTTTCTACCCCCACCATTGCCATCAGCGGTCCATTCTAGATGTCGATGGTTATATCTTAACATAGAACTTATAACAAACACAAATTTGATTGAAAGAATATTAAGATCCCAGATAACAAAACCTTTCCTTGGCATAAGAAAAGAAATAGGTGCTCAGCACAAATTTCTCTTTAATTGCCATCATGTTGCTGTCATCAGGTCAATAATAATTTCATTTACGTCAACCTAGAGGCATTATGCGGACAACGATTATTTGGGCAAATGAGCGGAAATGCTATAACAAACTTATTTCCATAAATGTTCCTACAATCTGTTGGAAATCGTTTTTGTAAAATATTTAGTCCACGTTTTTGTCAATTGAAACGAAATGAAGCGTCGTCGAGCAGTACCAGGTATGTAAATATGAAACCGGAATTTACCAATAAATGGCCATAGCTGTCAATCTAGTTGCCGTCAGACCGCGTCATTGACGCCATTTCCTTGTTCTGACGTCTAACAAAGATTTTCAACTCACAACAATACAAGTTTCATACAACAGTATAGTTTGTAATAGCGTTGAACATGTTGAATTTTGTGCCTGGAAACTACGATTTGCAAACAGCATTGATTTTCTGTTACCATTTGAAGAAAACTGCTGCAGAATCGCATCGAATGCTTGTCGAAGCTTACGGTGAGCATGCTCTTGGTAAATCACAGTGCTTTGAGTGGTTTAAAAAATTCAAAATAGGCGATTTTGACGTGAGAAACGAAGAACGTGAAAAACCACCGAAAAAGTTTGAAGGCAGCGAATTACAAGCATTGTTGGATGAGGATGACACTCAAACTCAACAACAACTCGCGGATCAATTGAATGTGACACGAGAAGCCGTCTCCATACGTTAGAAATCCATGGGAAAGATCCAGAAGATGTGAAAATGGGTTCCACATGAACTGAATGAAAGACAGCAGGAAAACCGAAAAACCACTTGCGAAATACTGCTCGCCAGGTACAAAGAAAGTCATTTCTCCATCGAATTGTGAATGGCGATGAAAAGTGGATATATTTTGAGAATCCTAAGCGTAAAAGATCATGGGTAACTCCCGGCGAAACATCGACATCGACTGCAAGGCCAAATCGCTATGGACGGAAGACAATGCTCTGTGTTTGGTCGGATCAGAAAGGTGTGATCTATTATGAGCTGCTAAAACCTGGTGAAATCGTTAATACTGAACGCTACCGACAACAAATGATCAATTTGAATCAAGCTTTGCGTGAAAAACGACCGGAATATCAAAAAAAGCAACACAAAGTGATTTTGCTTCATGATAATGCACCATTACACACAGCAAAACTGGTCGAGGAAACGATTGAGGCGTTTGGTTGGGAAATACTTTGGCATGCGGCTTACTCACCAGACTTGGCTCCGTCCGATTACTACTTATTTACATCGATGGGACACGCACTTGCTCAGTAGCGCTTCACTTCTTACGAAGATGTACGAAAATGGCTAGATGACTGGTTCGGCTCAAAAGAGCAACAATTTTTTTGGCATGGCATCCACAAATTATCAGACAGGTGGGAAAAATGTATAGCTAGCGATAGGCAATACTTCGAATAAAATATTTTTATCATTTTCATGCAATAAACTTGTATTTTCTATTAAAAAATTCCGGTTTCATATTTACATACCAGTATGTGATCACCTCCAGAGAGATGTATCGAGTTAAATTTCTCGATTTTAAAAAACGACATAGAAAGAATAAAAGACGCAACATTAGAAGATTTTTCAGCTGTGTTCTAATAAAATAATTTTTTGAAGTAAGCCCCAAGGGTGGAGCACTAAGATGAAAGGCATAATACTTTTTTTGAAATGTTTACCGAGTAAATAAAATCTCCTAATACTTTAATATGTATTTTGTTCTACATTGTAATTTTATTCATAGTAACTTACATAGTTACCTGTCACAACCAAATGAGTAAAATGTTTAAAATCAACTCATAAGCTACTTTAAGATATCTTTCAGAGTTCTTTATGAAATATCTTAAAGATGTTTTTTAACGAACTCTTAAAGATATCTTAAAATTCTCTTTTGAGTCAATTTTAAACACGAAAGCACTGTTAGAGATTAACCCTTTTTACTACAACAGTTTCTTTTATATTGCTGTGTCAAATTGCTAGCAAATTTGTTTTATGTAGAATTAGTTTCCATCATATTGCCGTACAATTGTTCTAACCTATAAAACTTATAAAAAAGAAAAGGGAAATTGTTTCCTTCCGGTTGTGCATCACCGTTTATGGTATATATTGCCGCCAATATCATAAGCAAAATCTGAAGCCGCTTTCCTAAAAAAAGATGGCAACTTAGGCGACGCAATTTGTATCAAATTTATAATTTGTAAAAAAAGAATCCCAGATAGCAAGTTTCCCGCAACATTTTTTTTTTATAAGGAACCTTCATTCTGAGTAAGTCAGTGTTTCCGACGCTCTACATTAAGAATTAAGAAACAAGTAAACGGTATCAATAAACAAAGTAATAGTAATGTAAATGTAAATTAACGACAAGTCTTGGAAAAATTTTGGTAAGAATCATTACTGACAAAAATTTGATGGCACGTAGCTAGTGACAGTTTTTATACATTGTGTAAGGAAAGGAGAGGAAAGAAAAATAGAAGGGGATATTCTATTGGTTAATAGAGAGGCTTTTTCAATGATTGGTAGATAAATTTCAGGAAAGCATTCTGCATCACTCTGTTTATTTAAACCTATTTTTTATCTATTGATACACGGAGAGAATTTTTTCTTAGAATTTACCCTGAAAATATGACAATCGTGGGACAATATTGTATTTCGAAGAATTTTGATATAAATCTCTCTCATTCATTAATAAAACTACAATAAAGTATAAAATAAGTTTGATCAATTTTACTGAAGTGCATGGTAAAAATCTTTAAAATATTGTATTGTATCACAATCACCATATTTTCAGTAAATTTTAAAAGAAAATTCTCTCCGTGTATGTATTATCTCGGAGGCTATCCTTTTATGATAAGATTATTCGGAATCAAGAATGATAGTGTCTCAATTCAGTTTTCCCAATCAATCGTATGATTATGATTTAGTTTGTAATGAGAGATAACAAAGTATTAGATGGTTTTTTAAAATCATTTTTATGTTCTTTTAAATGAGTCTTCAGTTTCCTTTTTGTCGGTCCTACATATGAATAGTTGCAATCGAAACAGTTTATTTTATACACAACATTTGAGTGGTCTTTTTTAATTTTATCTTTGACTGTATTAATAAAGGTATTCAAACAATTCATTGGTTTGTGAGCAATATTAAAGTCAAATTTTTATGAGATGGATTTAACTTTTTCTGAATCTTTGTTTGCCTCTACTAATAGAATATCCCTTTCTACTTTTCTTCCCTCTCCTTTCCTTATACAATGTATAATGACTGTCGCTACTACGTGCCATCAAACTTTGTAATGATTTTTACCAAAAGTTTTTCAAGACTTGTCGTTAATTTACACTATTAACTCCGAATTACACTTGCGATGACTTATGTCATAAAATACATGGCATTTCAAAATACGTGGCCACAAAGTTAATAACATAAAATAAACCATTTCTTCGTTGATTCTCGTCAGTGAAACTGTAATAGTGTAAAAGTAACCGATAACAAAGGAGAATTAATGCTAAATGCGTAAAATTATCAATATATATAAAACTATACCTTATTGTATAGTATGTTGAGTGTGTATAAACGAAAATAAACGTAAA